ATTTGTTGAAAGGAATGAGACAAGAGTTTGGACTTTGGAGTAAAGAATAACATCCAACCAGGGGAAAAGCTTTGTTAAAAGGGGTGAGATAAGAGGTTGGACTTTGGAGTATACAATGGCATCCAACCAGAAGAACTGCATAAGTAAGTGTGCAGAACTGGATAATAACCAGGCAATGTGGATGTCAGGGGATGCAAAATTTCCACCCAAGTACTTCCAACAGTGGAGAAGAATAACTGCATACCCCCTGGGGCGTCGATCTAAAGCATTGCCCACCACAAACTTGAACCCCCTTTCAAGTGTCATGCTTTACCATTGTCACATGGGCCTTAGTTTACGCTATGTACATTGTGAAATGGAAGAACACAACGACAATGTGCCTCCCCAAGGTTGGCTAGCATACCCCTAAAAGTTTCTGCAGAAGACCACACAAGCTACTTTTATGAGGACAAACTGGATCTGATACACACACACATGCACATACACACATATACAGACAAAAAAGAGAAATTTTTGAGCAAGGGCTTCAGGTTTCAATACTGTTTAAAGAAAAAAAATCTTAAGAATATCCTCCAATTGCACATTTCAACCCATGGTTCTCAACTTTGGCTGCACATATCTCTAGGGGTGAAGATCAGCGTTTGTATTTTTAAAGACCCCCCTGTGACTCTAATGTGCAGCCAAGGTTGAGAACTACTGCTTTAACTGAAATGGAGGGGAATTGGTCGTCCCAGATTCCTCTCTGGTAACCTCTGTGTCTTCCAATTCAGGGTTTTGTGACATTACATAGTATCTCCAACATGGAGTAATATTAAAAATATTTATCTGAGGCAGGAGGATGGCTTGAGCTCAGGAGTTGGAGATCAGCCTGAGCAAGAGGGAGACTCTGTTTCTACTAAAAACAGAAAAATTAGCCAGGTGTGGTGCTGTGTGCCTGTAGTCTCAGCTACTCAGGAGGCTGAGGCAGGAGGATCGCTTGAGCCCAGGAGTTTGAGGCTGCAGTGAGACATGATGACGCCAGTACACTCTACTCAAGGGGACAGAGTGAGATTCTGTCTCAAAAAAAAAAAAAAAAAACCAAACAGTAGGTCACTGGGTCTTTTTCACAGTTCTATAATACGCTGATTCCCTTCAAATGTGTCATAATTTCTCAAAGGGTAATTCTCTACGTGGCAAACAAGCCACAGGTAAAAGAAATGACACACACAGGCAGGGCTGCATCTGAACTTGACCTGCCTGCTGAGCACGCAGCAACATGCCACCACCTTCTATAAAAAGTGATCAGCTGTCTCTACACAACTTCTATATATTTTCTTAGTTATTTGTTTATTGCCTGTCCCCCCACTAGAATAATTTTTTGTGGTGAAGGAGGTTTGCTTT